TGCTAATTTGTTGAAATATTTAAGACAAAATATTGTCAATAATATCTGACATATCAGTCTAAATGCTTACAAAAGCAGATTAAAATATGTTACAAATACTATGATATGGCCAGAGGTATTGCTTGTACAAAAGAAGACATAATAGTAAAACAAAAATTATCAACAGCATGTAGCATGTAATAAATTTCACCCTATGACCCTTTTTCTTAAAAAATAAATAAATTGGTTTCCATCACTACATTATTTTTAGTTAAGTATTACTTACGTCAGGTGAGATCAATAGTAAATATTTTAAACAAAGTACGTATTATTATAATGTCGGGTTAGTGATCACAAGTGAAAGGAACTCGGTATCAAAAAGTATATCTAGACTGGACTTTTACTGTCCATAGAAAGGAGCGGTTTTGTGCACATCTCAACCGGATGCAGATTTAAATCTAGCAAGTAACAAAGTAGCATCATTTTTCTAGTTAATTACTTTTTTGCCCATCATTAAGTTGAAAATTCCTCACCCGCTACACTCTCAGCCCGTTACTGACACTTTGCAAATACACAATGAACTTGCTTTTACATCAGTAATACTCACAAAATTGCACGTAATACTCACAAATTTAGTTATTAATACTAATTATTTTGTTAGGAATTACTTAGGAAGATGATCCTAAGTACTTGCTAACAAAATAATTAGTATTACTGACTAAATTTGTGAGTATTACGTGCAATTTTGTGAGTATTACTGCTGTATAAGCAAGTTCATTGTGTATTTGCAAAATGTCAGTAACGGGCTGAGAGTGTAGATTCAAATCTGCAACCAGTTCAGATGTGCACACAAATGCGTCTATCTATGGACAAGAAAAGTCCTTGCAGATATAGTGTGTCACACATACCCTGAAAATTGTGTTCTTGACCAAACCTAGAACATCGGCTTGGAACAATGCAATTAGCTTAGCCCGAAGCCCAAGTTCTAAGTTTGGCCATGAACATTTCTTGGGCCAAGAACACACTTTTCTGGTTGCGCTGTTTAACTGGGTAGCAAGCATTTTATGCTAAAGCATTCCGGTCAAGCTGAAATGCAGAAAAAAGCAGGGAACAAGAAAGCGGAAGTCACCGTGCTAAATCATAGCTATTCCCGCTCTCTTCTTCCTCGCATTCTTCTGCATTTCAGCATTACCGGAATGCTACTTTCGCTTGTCCCTACGCAACTCCGCGAAATAGGGCGTTTTCCTCTCTCAGAATACGTAGTTATCTCAATTTTTTTCGAGAAAAATCGATACGTGGTTTCGCCAGCCCCTAAGAACTTTGCATGGTTTTGGCAGCGCCGGAGCGCCGTGCGTGCTTTGCAATAGGGACAAGCGAATTTGGTTAACTAAATATATATTGCAGCACTAATAAGCTTACAGTACAGTCGTCTTCACCGATGAGACGTCGCACCGCTCCTCAGACTGCCGCGTCAAGAACGTGTGGCGAGAAGATGGCACCAGTTAAGGGGGCATCCTAGTGTAGCGGGCTTAAAATAGGGGTGTTTTCGGGAATTTATTTTTGAAAAACTAAAGCTCTCGGAGCAAAACCGATTGCGGGGTTTAATAGATATCACTTTAAGCTACAAAATCCATTGTCGCCGGTGCCGGCTACCCCTCGGGTAGCGGAGCTATCCCCCATGAGGAAACACGCTGCAGCAATGTCATCTCATGGTGGGCAGTCTGGAGGTCGAGCCGTTGGTTTTAAACAGTCGACTAAAAGAGGAAATTAAACTTTAGGAGTGTGGCTATCGTGTGAACCAGGAGTTTTGCGATAGAGCAAAATTTACAATTTTTTTGAACGACTGCTCAAACTTTTATGATAAAATTTTGACTAAAAATCTTAATGTTTTCAATTTTTTTCACTGTGAAGGAGGTATTCGAATACAGATATCCTGGTTCAACACGATAGAGATACGCGAGAGGAACAACCACGAAAAATCGCAACCCGATCGGCCAAGCGGTTTGGCCGCTAGAGTGCCCACCAGTTCGAAAAAAGGCGTTTCGAGAAAAACGACGTTAAAGTTTTGCGATGCCGACGGAGCGTTGCGTACTGCTTCACGCGCTACCCTCTTATGGGCAGGAGAACTCGAATTGACGCGCCGGACAAAGTGGGCTGTAATCTAGTGACCATAGGGGATTTTTTGAGACCAAAATATTTTTTTCCATTTTTTGAGCCCACTACACTAGGATGCCCCCTTAAGATCGGCGATCTCAGAGTGTTGCACGCAATCGATTTGTTTCGCATGAAAAAAGGCCTCTCTGGTTAGAACTGCGTCAAAGCAGATTTCTGTTTTTTTGAAAGGAAAGAAAGTGAAATTACCGACTCCTCCTTTAACTCGACAGTGCACGGAAAAAAATGAATTGGTCGTCAGAACTAAATATTAGTTAATTTCGTGACAATCGATCAAAAAATTGTTGAGGTAACTAATAATTTGTTTTCAGAACCAAGATTAATTTGTCAGAACAAGCTGTTCGGTGCCTGAGGTAACGCATTCGTTCTAAAAACAAACCACGAAGTGGCTCCTGCGATCTTGGTCCTGACAACAAATTATTACTTACCTCAACAATTTTTTGATCGATTGTCACGAAATTAACTAATATTAAGCTCTGACGACCGATTCATTTTTTTCCGTGTGTTCTTGCAATCCGTGCGATAATTGAATTTAGACCGTTTGTATGCTTTGAGTACACAGTAAATCTAAAAGGACTCTTACTGTCCACAGAAACACACGTTTTTGTGCACTCCTCTCAACCGGATGCTGATTGAAACTTAGCAAAGTGAGGAATTTGCGTCTTCATAATGGACCAAAAAACAAATGTCCAGAAAGAGGAAACTTACTCGTCACTGCAAATCTGCATCCAGTTAAGATGGGCACAGAAACGCGTCTTTCCGTGAAAAATAAAAGTCCCTTCAGATTTAGTACGAACATCTTTACCTGCAGTAGAGCATTCCGGTGAAGCTATAATGCAGAAGAATTTAGGCGACAGGGAAGTAGAAATCATCATGTTAAAACATTATGATTTCCGCCTTCTTTTTTCCTGCATTCTTCTTTCATTGAGCTTTATCAGAGTGCTTTATTCCTAATTTTACCTGTGACAACTTTGTATACTTGAAATGGACAAGATTCCATTTTTCCGTGATAGGATCTGGTAAAGATCTGCTCAAAAATGCGCCTTTCAGGGACAAAAAATGTCTTTAGATTAAATGTCTAGCTTTATATTTTAGCCCTTATGAAAAATTATGTTTAAGGTATGAGCCAGAAAATGTGGTGGAGACGCGTGCCAGTGAAAGGGTCAGCTTAATGCAGTGGTTCGCCTTTTCTGGCGACCTTGGATCCATTGCTGTCCAAAACTGTCCCGGGCGGATGGATGCCATTTTCTACAGGTAGGTTCACACTAAATCTGAAGAGGCTTTCATTGTCCATAGAAGGACGCGTTTTTGCGCGCATCTCAGCCGGATGCTGATTGGAATCTATCAAGTGAGGAATTTGCATTATAATTATTGACAAAAAAACAACAACAATTGTCCAGAAAAAGGATGCTAGTTCGTCACTGGTTGGATCCAAATCTGCATCCGCGGTTGAGATGTGCACAAAACTGAGTCTTTCAATGGACAATAGAAGTCTTTTCAGCTTAAGTGTGTTCAAATTTGTAATTTGGATGGCGCAGATTTGCATGTAGCACAGATGTGCCTATGTGATAGACGCATCTGATCCACTGTAAGAACGATGTCTTGTATTTCAAGCAGATGGCTTTGAAATCCTACTCATTTTCCCTTCAATTTCAAGCAATCTTCTTCAACAACAAGATAGCATTTTTATCGTAATCAGATGAGATCTAAAAAAGTGAGGAGTAAATGATTTTCTGCAAATCAAGCTGAAACGCTCACTTTGATTATTTCTAAATCTTTATCCCGTGAAACCCGCCCCGTATACATACTGTATACATACTGTATACATACTGTATACATACTGTATACATACTGTATACATACTGTATACATACTGTATACGTTCCACATACAATCTATATGTGTGCATACAGGTGACGTATACGGTTCGTACGCGGTCCAAGTACGATCTGTACGCCGTATGTGGTCCGTATGTGGCAGCTGGATGTGTGCCCTCCATACACTGCGTATGCAAGCCTTACATAAACCGTACGTACTGTACTGGTACTGAACACATACGTTCTGTATGCTCGCATACGGTCCATACACGGCACGTGTATGCGTACCTTATGCACACGCGAGGTTGTGTCCGTACTGTATGTCCTATCAGACTGCCGTATGCGAGGGGGCCACCACTTCAACTGAGGATGTACACAGGATTACGTGATTACAGGGATTACACGTCAATTTTGAGTGATTACACGTGAATTTTGTTGAATTTTAGGCTCTAAAACCATCAAATTTGGACAATAAGGTAAAATTGAGTGATAATGTTTAAAAATTTGGTCAAAGATTACACGGAATAGACAAGGATTGCGTAGGGATTACACCCTCATCTGTACACCGGATTACGCGAGTGGTGGCCCCCTCGGCCGTATGTGTGCTGTATGGTCACGGCCACAGTAGGGTGCCGTATGTGTCAAGTATGTGTCGACATCCGACTGCCTAAATATCAAATGGCTGACTTACGCTGCGTACTTTCGTAGTTATACTGTACCGCATGCACTCGTGTGGCGGGTTTAGGGGTGGGCGGTATTATTTTTTCAAAACCAATAGAGAATATATTTTTATATTGGAATTCGGGGCAATAGCAATATTCTGTATTGGATATTGACAATATTGCCAATATTGACAATATTGCCAATATTGACAATATTGCCAATATTTGAATATTGTCAATATTTGAATATTGTCAATATTGGAATATTGTCAATATTGGAATATTGTCAATATTGGAATATTGAAAATATTGGAATATTGATAAAACTGTAAAATAATCAGCAAATCATTTGACAATGTGGGAAAAGACGACAAAAGCAACGTAATTTCAAGATGTATTTTTAATCTTTTATAATACATGACATACGCCGGCATACGCCCCTGCAGAGAACATATAGCAGACTAACTTGGGACGGGCATGTACTTTTGATTTTTGGCACAAAATATTAACTTTTCTGCATTGTTTCCTGACAGTGAGCACCTAGTATCAATTATGACATCACCAGAAGTACTAAACACTCTTTCAGACGGCACACTGGACGCTGTTATAATCAGGTATTTTCTTGCAAGCCTGACAAGTAGTGGGAACTGACTTTGATGATCTTTCCACCACTTAAATGGGTCTGACTCAACCGGTAGTGGAGACATAAGCGAATAACGATCCACTTCCTGCAAAAATTTGTCCTCAATTGAAATTGAACCGCTATCTCCACCTCCACCACCAGAACTAGACTCAGCGGCAGCAGCAATCTTCCTTTTCTTGGAAATATTCGATAAAGCCTTTACGGCTTTGGGGGTCTTCTCTAATTCTGCGAAAACAGAAAAAAATATGTTGGTATTGATATAGAGAGTGCGAGGTGAGCATTTGAAAGTACCGAGACTGAGTGGTTAAGAGAAGACGCAGGAGGTGCGGGCGGGTTTGCCTACTCGTCCTGCCCGTAAGGCGCTATGGCCCCCTCACCTCAGGCATGCAAAAACGCCCGCACCGGCGTGCGCGTGCGTCCCCTCTGTGTCACCCGGCACCCGGTATGGGGGGAAATAGAGGTTGGCTACCTGCCTGACTCGGACGAGTCGGAAGGGTTCGGCTGCTGCTCCGGAAGTGGCATTTCCTTCAGCTCAGCCAAGAGCAGCAATTTTGCATGAGCTCTATCTTCCTCCAGTATCTCTTCTCGAAAACGAGGGTCCAGAAATGAGCATCGAGCCAAAACTCCGTTACAAGCGCGCGCTGACACGTAGTCGACGTCTCGAGCTGAAGCCAAGGGGTCAGGCTTGAACCGTTTCTTGAGAAACTGAACTACGGTACCCTGCATGTTCGTAGGGATAAGTTCGGGATCCTGGGCTAGAGGGATATCGTCATCGTCGTCGTCGTCATCGTCCTGTTCCTGTAAAGAACGGAGATGCCTCTTATAATTACTGTGAATTTGTAACGCACAAATTGTGCGATAAACGGGACCGTCCGTCCGTGCTGCAAAACACTTCCATGGCCCCCGCGCCGCGGGCCGCGGGTGAGCGAGGCGAGGCGCAGTGCTCCGCGCCCCGGCCCCGGCCAGCTGCCAGCTCCTCGAGGCTCGAGGCGGCGCAGGGCCGGCAGCGACGGCAGCTCGCAGCTCCGCTCCGCAGGCGCAGGCCGCACGCCCGCAGCGCGCTGCCGCGGCCGCGGCTCCCTTCTCCAGGAGGCCGGGCCGGGGGGGCAGCGGGGCGCGGAGCATGCGTCGCCATCCATTTCCCTCGGGTGCATTTAAAAGGAACAATATTGAATGACTTACCTCTTTTCCTTCACGTTCCTGCGGCTCTGCTAGGTCGAGTAGATCATCCCCTCCATACAAATGACTGTGAGGATCAATCAGGTACATCATAGGCAAAATGAAGCTGCTCGTCGGGTAGGTTTCTGCCCCAAGCACAGTGGAAACCTTCTCTATCGGCTTCATGCCCTTGATGTACACTTTTAGCACGCCCATGCAGTCCCGTGACGGGATTATTTAAATATTTCCCTCTTGCATATCTGGGAACAAAATCCAAACGCCAACTGTAGTGCTTAACAACCGCCTCCGCCAACTGAAGGTCGACCCACCAACGCGTCTTGCACGGCGATGGTATTTTTGTAGGGGTCACGTTGAAACGCTTCTTGGTACTCTCTTCATAGTGGCGCCAGACCTTGTCTGAGTTAAGCCAGTTGCGCACTTCATGCACATCCTTCAATGCACTTTGTAGCTTTTTGCATGTAGACATGAAAGCATTTATGCCATTGTTGACAGTATGGGCAAAGCATCGCACGTGAGGCGCTGGTAGAGCTTCGACAGCAACCCGCATATTATCGCCATTATCAGTGGTAAAAGCCGCAATGCTCCCTATTGGCACTTCCCACTCGGCCAACATTTCTTTTAGTACATCGCCAAGGTACTCCCCCGCGTGGTCTTCTTTCAACAATCTACATCCCAGTGTTACTTCCACTAGTACCCATTCCTGGTCCAGGAAGTGGGCAGTCAGCGACAAATAACTATCCCTAGCTTCAGACGTCCACCCATCCGTAGTGAACGCCTTAAAGTGTGCTGCACTCAGGAGGCCTTTCACAACGCCTTTAGTTTCTTCATACATTTTGGGTAGGTATGTAGCAGTCAGAGTTCGTCGTGAAGGGGGCTGATAGCGAGGGTTCAGCACACGCATCATAACGCGAAATCCTGGCTTGTCCACAGTATTTAGTGGTCGCATACAAGAAGCAATGTAATACATTACAGCCATGTTGCAATTTTTCCTTTTGCTTTCCCTCCAGTGGCCTAAAAGCATCTAGCTTTTGTTGAGTCGACGTGGCAGGGCTGAAACACAAGGAAAACAAAACTAATT